CAACCAACGCTTCGAAAGTCCTGTCTGGTGCCTTTATCAGGAGTGAAAACTCGTATCCCTTAACATTCCGCACAGGAGATCGAAATCTCAAACTCGATGGAAACAGATTATATTAATTGCATCGGTGATTGAAATACAAATGACAGTGATACTTAGCAATGCAGACTCTGATGTTCGCGAGCCGGTTGACCCTTATAATACCAGTTATATTAAAGTTCACAAGACAACCAGGTGGACAATCAGACATGATTTGATGCTACTCTGCCTTAAAAATGTTTATGAATGTAACAGGGAAGTTACAATTCATAGACCAACGTTTCGACACTCTAGTACCTTCATCAGGGGTCACTGAAATTTGTCTTACCAAGTTCAAAGAAGTTGAGCTTCAATCTTTCTTCGCCACACCCTGGCCAGTACAACAAGTGCACTCCCTCCCCAGGCCATCCACCGTTTGGATGAACACAGAAATCGTTCTTCAAATTCTTCAGGTTATTGTGTGTCGGCAACCTAAAGTGACCAAAAAACTATGCATGAGTAAACCATTATTCTCCACGAAAAGAGATATACTTTAACTGGAATATCAATAAATAAAACCGATTTGACGATTTCGTCACGTCATTTTTCCGAGATATGTATGTCATGAACATAAAGGTGGTTTGCCTTGTGTAGGAAAAGACCCGTAAAGAATTTGGTGTTGTCGGTATGAAAATGCTTGGAATGCTATTTAGGTTTTTAAAGAGAAACGTGCAACTTCCTGATACATATTGGAAAGCAGATGACTCGAGGCGTTGATAAATAGTGTAATTGGAAGAGAAAGAATTAGCACGAATGGAATAATATGAATTTTGTTAAAATATGAGGCAGAAATTGTCTCTATGAATAACCACGAGAGGAATAGCATGAATTAGGTTAAAATATGAGGCAAAATTTGTCATGTGAATTATCACGAGAGGGATAGTATGAATTAGCTTTAAATATGAGGTAAAAGTTTCCATATGAGTTATCACGAAGGGAATTGTATGAACTAGAATAAATATGAGGCAAAAATTATGTCATTAGGTAACAGCCTTTGCATCTACAACATACCTGACATGCCTTGAAATGCTCAGATCGCATTTATCCTTTAACATAAGTTTCTTCCAATTGGTAGGGTTATTGTCTGCCAAAAATAAGAGGGAAAAAACCGACAAACAAAGTTCAAGTCTCAAAAAATGGATTGTGTGTGACGAACTTACGAATCTGGGTTCAAATTTTTCAAGAAGTTTCCATCGAGACAAACGATCTTCGACAAAAGAATTTTTTCACTGGAAATTTTAATATCTCATTCCCGAGAGATGTTGGTACACGAGCAAAGTGATCTATTCCTGAAAAGGGAGAATTTTAATGGGTCAAGCCTGGAAAGGGGAATAACACCTTCGGAATGTTGGTGTTAATATAGGTAATCACATGATTTCGAGTGCAATTTGGAATAAAGACGAGCCCGTGGGGCGAGTGCAATTTGTGGTCTTAAAATTAACAAGTGCTTGTTTATTCCAAATTGCACGAGAAAAATCATGTGATTACATATTAATAATATACATGGAAAAATTCGAGATGGCTTATCAAAATTAAGCATATGCAAAGGACGCGCATCATGTGCAAAAATAATTTATTCAAACCGTACGTTCGGTCAAAACAACAACGTACGATCAAAAGAATAATATGCAATGATATCTTCACATCTTTAAGGCGCAAAAGAGTTCAAAGTCCGGCTAAACAGTTCAAGGAATTTTTCAGTCTGTGTCCGAATCACTTTCGATGAAATGGAATCGTCGTTTCCGAGGTTTAACCATGTTTGTTTCTAATTTCGGTGTTGGATCGCTCGAGCAAAATGTTAAGCTAGGTCGGCTCGTAATTTTCGATTTTATTGGCAATTCCATTCCCTAAACACCACTTTTTCCAAACCGAAAACTAAGAAGCAGTGCTTTTTACAGTATTTTCGTTGTTTGAGCTGTTTCTCAGTGGCGGTGGCGAAAGAAAACCTACTTAAAACGCCGGCCATTGTTTCGCTCGCAAATTTTCACATTTTCAAATTTTGTTGCGACATCCAAGGCTTGCATTTGATTGCCTATCTGTGAGTTTCTTTGATTATTGACCAATCAGAATGTCTGATTTGTTAATTTATTTGCACTGAATTAACCCTCTTCTGCACTGAATTAACACTCTACTGCACTGAATTACCTGAAAACTGCATTTATCTTAACCAATCAGAACTGAGAAATTTTTCCATGTATATTATCAACTGAGAAAATGTTAGGGTATCACTGCTAAAATTTTGCTGTTAATCGTAGCCCTTAAAAAACAGAAAAAAAAACAACGAATATAGTCAATAAGAATTCAGATACCGTTCATAAATGTCACCAAAAACAACAAAATGCAGTGTAGAAAGTAAAAAAAACAAAACTGTTACCTTGTGGACAAACTACCTTCTTGCTGCACTTATGATAAATAACTCCATCCTGGTCGAGAACAAAAATCTGATCGGTTGCATTACAAACCGTGCCTTCCTTTTTGGTAAAGATGAGATAACTGCCGTCAGGAGGGGAACAACCTCCTTTATTTGGGGCCACA